GGATCCAGCTTCGAAACCTCCGTGAATTTTCACTTTTTTGCTTTTCCTCAGTCCTTCTGCTAGGTTGGTTGCCGACAAGACATAATACTTTGCATCTGAGTCTGGTTTATATGCAGATCGCCATTCATCGAGGTCGTTTGCATTTTGACCATTTTATGGCTTAAAAATGGGGCATTTGTACAGGAAGGGAAACGTGGAAGCTGATTCAGTGCGCACACTTGGGTAAGGCACTCTGTGATTTTATAAAGCAAATTGCTTACAGGGTGTGCGCTTACGCAGGGGGTTTTATAAAGTCTGAATATTTTTTGGCGCACGCAAAACTTGGCTTTTGGCCGTTACGTACCTTTTAGTAACGATCCACGCACATAGTTTTATAAATGAGACCCCTGGGCTTTTTGTTTATCCCTACCTCCATGTGGGTCCACCCTGTAGACCGGGTCGTATTGTGGATACAGTGTGTTCTGAAGATGGAACTTGGTGTATTGTAGCACCCGCTCTATGACGTCTTCTATGTAGACAGCCTTCGGCATGTTTGTCGAGGTCATGATGTGAAGAGCCGTCAGACATGCGTCTGCTGACTTTGTGACTCTCTCCATTATCAGGTCTCTCCAGAGCTTCTCCTCATCTTCAGCATCATGGTCCTGAGGTTAGAAAGGAAATAACTAAAATAAATACAGAAATAAACCACTATCTGGAGGCGGAAGGTTTTTAAGTCAGTCTAGCAAAGAAATCTTTTGTAGCATTTTAACAATTAATGTTCTGCTTTTGCTGCCAGTGACAGTATCTTTTGATTTCTGCACATGGATAATGTTTGCATTTCCGCAGTTAGTTAAATATCACTGCAACAAATATTTAACACAGAAATAGGGAGGAAGGGAGCTCACATGGTTCATCAGGGTGGAGAGCTTGGACCCATCCTGGATATTCTTTTCCAGTATGTTTAGCAGCTTCACCAGCTTGTCTGATGGAATCTACAACAACAACAAAGATCATTATTTTACATTATTTAATTTGATCTGAAGCAGCATCACACTTCCACATCAGTCAAACTAAAGTCTAACCCCATACCCTGCTGGAGATGCCCATGGCCTTAATCTTGGCGGACTCGCTGCCCAGTTCATTCAACTGGTGTTTACCAAGCAGCAGTTCCTGAGGTATCTCATCATCATCTGCTGTTGGGGGGGGAAAAAACCCGTAACATTAGACAATATCACAATAAAATACAGCGAGGTTGCTGCATATCTATTTTCAAAATGGACTATAGTGGCAGTTTGAAAGCCAATCAACGCTGATATTTACCCATGGTAGTGAAATCCACATCTTCCAGATTCTCCAGTATGTTGTCAATGCTTGTTAAGAACCTCTTGAATGTGGAAGAGTCCATCAGCTCTTCTTGAGTCAGCTTGGGTTCATATGCTTTCCGTTTCTTCTGCTTTTCCTTTATCTTCATTTTTCTGGCAACTGGGTGAGAGAAATTTCATCTTAATTTTCGTTGTCATGTTTTCATTCTGTGTGCCAGATACCAAACACTGTCTCTTCATTATTTTAAGAATCTTTTTTCAGCTCTCTGGGTTTCAATTTCTCACATTAACCTGGCACTGACAAGTAAAAAATATATATATGCATTTCCTTGCCTTCTAGTCTGTCATACCATGTCATTTATCAATTTATTTTTCTGTATATGGACATCAGAACATTACTCCCCAATCTAATGGGGTATTAGATTTCACTGTGAAGGCCAAATAAAGACATTCTTTGCTCTTCTATCACTGTCACACACATATCAAAAGAAAGAGAAACATAATTCGAAATGGTGTGGCACACCACTTGAATACAGACCGTCACTTATGCTGGGTGGTGGTGAATCTTCCTCGGAGGAGTCTCTGTAGCGGCTCCCTGAGCCTCGTCGGCTGTCCCGGTGCCCACTTTTCCGATGTTCCCCTGAGCCACGACGCTCCCTTTCCTCAAAGTCCCAGGCTCTGTCTTTCTCTCGGCGCTGCCGCTTCCTTGCGGCTGTAGAGATTAGAAATAAAGAAATCAGGCACTAAAGTCTAAAAAAAACTGTTATATGAGAATAACACTAACAAAAAGTAATCTCAACAGGATTCCACTGTCAGCTCGTGACATTTTCAGAATATTTCACAAGTCAAATGATCAAACCTTGCATGAAGATTTGCAGCAGGAACTAACACGAATCCAATAATTTGACTCACACTCTCCATTTGCATCAAAGTCTTCATCCGAGCTGACCTCAGCATATTTGGGCTTCTCATTTACAGTGCTTCGTTTCCTCTTGTTCATCTTTACCCGTTCACACAGGGGCATGGTTGACTCAATCTCTGCCAGCAGCTCTGGGGGAAGCTCGTTCAGAACTGCTGGGTCCATGCCACCTGAAAATTGGACAAAAAAAGATTTTCAGGTTATGAACAAAAAGGCAATTCCATTTTTTTCTTTCATCTTCATGTAAGAACATAGTACACAGAGATAGAACATGCTGTAGTTAGTTGAATGAAAGGAGCAAAACTGCTTCTTGTTCTTACTTTTGCCAGATTTTCCTGACGAGATCCTGTTCTTTCCAGACTTGCTGTGCCGGATGATCCTCTGGATCTGGTCAATGGAGAGCTTTTTCACAAGGACTACAGGCTTGGGCCTCTTCTCAAAGTCCTTCACCAAACCTAGCCTCTCCAGTTTAACCTTAGGCTGGCCCCACACTTGACTTTCAGTTGACCCACTGCCATCCTTATCACGTTTGATCTGAAAAAAACAAAACAAAACAAAGGAGTCAGGAAAGCCCTCTGCGATTGTCGTGTTTGAAGTTCAAAGTTCAATAAATTTCACACTTTGAAGTTTTGGACAGAAAAACATGACCTTTGTTTACAGAAAAGAAAATAGGATAATAAAATGTAAACAATGGATCAAACTGATTGACATGAGATTAGATTTTGATGTTAGTTTCCAGTATAGTTTTCCAGACTTGAAGGAATGCTCCCCCCACCATTTTTCAAACATTATCTCCATATCTTAAATTGTGAGAGTAATGGTCAATGCATAGTGCACTGTCAACACTGCAGTGTTGGCAGCAACTCCTCCCAGCCACTAGGGGTGATGGGCCAAAACTGGAGATGCCGGTTGTGGACCTTTGCACTCGTCAACAAAGTAACACTTCAATGTTTCTCGGCAATATCAGCACGACAAAGTTTATGTCCAAGTACTGCACATCTAACAAGTACACAATACACTGCACAGACAGAAACTCTGGTTACACTAACAAGGACTTTATACCTCTCTTCTGCCTGTTGCTTTCTGTTGGTTCACCTCTGAGCTAGAAGCACTGGCTAAGCTAGTTGGCAAGTCATTAATATCTAAAAACGACTGATCAGCAGCGCAGCATAGACTGGTATCTCACTGGACAACGCTGCAGGTTTGTTCTGCTAAAGGCTGAAAATCTTACATTTGTGTATAACACATTGAGTATGTGATTCAATCCAATCCAGCACAGAAAAGTCAAACACCAATGCCACACTTTTTCACATCACAATGTCCTACACACTGATGACTAACAAACACTGACGATCAAAAATTTAACCAAAACTTGGCTCTGCTGAGAAGAATAGAGTGGAGCTCTCACAATAAATAAAGATTGTTATTGTGGTCCCATTCATTTGACCTATGCCAGTAACCTTGTAACCGATCAGTTGGACCTAACCCTGCAGAAGCTGCATAGCTGGTTTAGTCCTGCCAGGGTGACTCTTAACCATTTCTATGCAAACTTCAGCTTAACAAGACATAAATAGTAAACAGCCATGTTTTCAGTAGACAAGCTATTCATTACAGGTACACTATCAACTCTGATTGCAACAACTGGCAGTATAATCTAGGAGCATGTAACTGTAACTGCGTCACGGCAAGTGGCTGCGGGTTGCTTTTCTGAACAATGTCTTGCCAATAGATATTGTAAGCTTGACTGTCAAGGCAAAATTTGCTTTTTCAGTCCAATTGTTTGAGATGTCGGCAGCAAGTGCATTCATTAGATTTTTACCAACAGGCAACAGCTGAGAAACAGCAGTGGAGCATTTCTTTAAGTTATTTGCTTTTGTTTACATACAGGACAAAAAAAAACTTAAATTAAACAAAACAACAGGAACTACTTTTAACAAATGGTTAGGTGTAGGTTAATGTGTTAACGTAACTCTTTATGGCCACTCCCAGGAATAAACAAAAGGCTTACAAATGGGAAAATAAAATTGTAAACAAAAGTGAGCAGTGGTGAGATTGGTTTTGTGAGATTGCAGGCAGTGACAGCTGAATGATTGGTAGGTGGGTAGATATTTGGTTTGGGTCAACCCAGATCACCTTAGGGATCTGGAAGTTCTTCAGTGCACCACTATGGCCTCCCAGGAGATGAGCAGGGAAAGAATCTGGAAGTTTAGCACCAGAAGCAGAAGAAGCCGGTTTGGAACCATCTGGCCTATTGCTCCGACCAGGCTCTCCAGTGGAAGAAGCCCGATAGCCGGACCTATCTCGGTCACTTCGGCAGCGAGAGTCGGGGGAGCGTCTGTCTCGACCACCTGTCTCGCTCCGATGCCGCCTATCTCGGTCAGATTCTCGGTCCCTGTCACGTCCATGTTCCCCTCGGTTTGATGACTTTGGCATGTCTCCCCGTCTGTCTGAGGACTTCTCATCGTGTCGGTGCTTTGACGACTCCCGACCCTCTCTCCTGCTGTCATGTTTATCAACCCTGTTCTTGATGACTTCCGGTCGACCATCTGGTTTCAACCGCAAAGCCGTGTCAGAACCTTCCACTGCAGCCGGACCACTAGCTGGTTCTTCAGGCCAGCGTTGGGCCTCAAGGGCTGGAATAGGGGCAGCCAGACAGGGGTCGAGCTGGCCATCAGCTCGGCCTGCCTGCTGGAGGTCGATGCTCACCATGAGGGGAGGGCGGCTGGCACCGTTCCCAGCTGCAGTGGCCTCTTGTGGGGTCAGTTTGCCTGCATTGCCCCCTCCTGTTGATCCACTGCCTGGGGCACCCGTGGGACCACCTGGTCCTCCCGCACCTGGCTCCAAGGGGAAAGAGTCCTGTTTTCTCTTCTTCAGAGGCTTGTCTGTAAAGAGAGAGACATGAAGATAAAACTTGTAAAACCTCTTAAGTTGTACATTCCAAAATACGTCATAATACGTCATATTTAGAGTTATCCTACACACCTTTATCTTGAACCTCCTTTGAGCACTTCTCACTGGCCGCCTCTCGTTCTATCCTTTCAATTTCAGCGAGGGCATCCAGCTCTGCCTCGTCGTAAGGGGAACTGGGAGGCTGGAAACCACTGGCACCACCTGCTTGCTGGGAGAGCTGCTGCTGTTGCAGCCGGGCTCCTAGATTTTGTTGGAGAACAGGCACCTGCTGAAAGCCCAGTTCTGCCTCCATATTGTCAGAGTTCTGGTCCATGCCTGGCATTACCTCACCTGAGATATTAACAAAAAACACTTTTACAGGGTTGTACTTAATTAACAGGGCTGATGGTTTCCAGTACTTTCCAGAGTTCTGATGGACAAGATTTATTTTTCGTTCCTAAATGAGATATAAGCACAGCATACCTCTTTTAGTGTATTGGAGGTGGCGGAAACTGAGTAACAAAATTATGGGAATACAGCTAAGACTGAGATGATCAAAAAGCTTTACTTACCTGGGGTATCGGACTCATTTGACTTGACCCTGGATAGCTTAAGGGTGAGTTTTGTAGAGTCCTTGTTTGGAGAGCTTACGATGTCGTACATATCTTTCTCCTCTTTCACCGCTGGGGCTTTCTTCCTTTGCTGGAGCTGCTGTTTCTGGTCAGGTCCTCCTTCCCTTGGTGAGGGCGCATAAGGAGGTGGTGACTGCAGAATCAGCGGGGGACGAGAGCCCGCTGTGAGGAAGTAACACCAAATAGAGAAGGACGTTATTTTTTTAAAAGACACGTGAAAATAAAATGACATAGTACTATGATGAAAACCGACAGAGCTGCGTCTACAAAAGGCATTCCACTCTACTAATGTGCAATGCTATATAGGAAGACGGCCACTAAGACTGGAAAGAAAATCACTGTGGCCTTGTATCACTATTGAGGGATAATGACCTCAAATTATTCTGTTGCTGTGAAATTCAAATTATGAGTATTACAGAGCCGGAAGCAGCTGTTCCCTAAATGAAAAAAGGGTAGGCAGGGTGAATGCACTGTAGTGCCTCCTTTCTTCTTCCAGTGTCCTTACGTTTGGGCGTTCCTTCACTCCCTGCTGGGGAGCAGCCAGACTGTGGAGACCTCAGAGGGAAAGAAGGATTCCTCATGGTGGAGTCACCCTCCTGGACAACACACAGACAAGACAGGTGTAAGCTGCCAGGTATGAACTTTACACTGCAACTTCAACCAAAAATTTACTGGAGAAATAGCTTGACAACAGTTAAATTTTTGTTGCTAACGAAGCTCTTCTGAGGGATTACTGACTCCAGCCTGTGAGTACCTCTCCATTGTATTAACACAACTAATGGAAATAACTGGAATTTGACATAAATGCTCTCCCACAATTGAAAATCGTAATGCTGAGTATATTTTATACCAAACATTTCAGTAAAACCTCCTTACTATGTGCACATTATTCTGCATACCTATGTTTTCCCTAACTATCTCTCACTTTCTCATGTGCATCCTCCCTCGATGGGTGAAAAAAGCCAGTGAGATTCCACCTCAAACCCAATGTCAATGTTAATTGAAAATATAAATGGAAAATCCATTTCAAAATTATGTTTATTCTCTTTAGCATCTTTACTTCCTTAAATATTGTAATGTAATTCTGTCTCAATCTGGTTGTGCACAGTTGTCAATTGCACAATAGATATTTATCAATTTAGCAATGTTTTCCATTTGCATTGGTTGGGTAGTAAACATATCTCATGTCTTTCCAGTCGTACCTCATTGCTCAATCGGTGTACAATATTCAGGTAGTCCTCAGTGCCGTGTCTGTCTGAGTGGTGGTTGGCAGCGTTGGCCATCTGCCCCGATACTTTGCCCTCATGGATATTTCGTATGCCACCAGGAACCATGGGACTGGTCACAGACACTGCCAGATAAAAGAAGGAAGATGTTAATTTTATATAAAAATTGAATAATTAAACTGAAAAACACAAATACAACTAATATTAAGCTCAATTTATGACAAAAATAAAAAAAATAAATAAACAAATAAATAAGCTTATCAAACATTTACTGCACTGAAATTTCTTTTAGTAAATAAGTGAGTACTGACTGATAATATCAACCCTGGGCTAAAGTCATGAAATAGTCATATACTACTGAACACTGAATCAAATTATTTAATATTAAACTATTCTATTTCATTTTACCATATTTTATCCATTTCTTGCTTAAAGAGTTTTTTTATAGGTTCCCTGTTTTGAAGCATGGGACACTCTTATGTTTTATTCTGAAAATATTCTTGTTACTAGGGCCCGAGCAGCAAAGCATTTTTTATTCCCCAATGAATTACATATTTGGCTGCTGCAACATGCTTGGAAACTCATGAAATGTGGCACAAAAAAAGTGGTGGTGAAAATGAATGAATGATGTGGCTCTTGTAAGTGGGCGTGGCAAAATTACTTGACCACGCCCCCTAATAGCTGCCCCCGAGGCACGTTTTACTGATATGTATGAAATATGAAAAGCTGTACACACGTGTATTGTTCAAATTTGGACAGTGCAATCATCATCATTAAAAGTATTAGATTTCCATGACATTTCCACAGCACGTTCTACACAGGATCTGTTGTTTTATAACACAACCGCAGCACACCCTGACGTGCGGATCGTGAGGGCCCAATCCTCACTGTTGCAGCTTTCATTTTTATAATATATTCCGAAAATCCCTGGTTAAACATATAAACTATGTGAATCGCAACAAATATATTAAAACAATAAAGCAACGAGGCAACAGTGGAGGGATTTTACTGTGAAGAAATGGTAGAACAAAGGGACAAAAAATTTGTCCACATATTTGTCTACAAAACCACAGCTGCTAATCACATGCGACATGTGCTGAGGTCTTGCAATGAAAAATACAGATCGTCAGCCAGCTACACAGACAGACGCAAGAAAGCACTGATCCACATTTCGGACCTCTGTCTCCTCATACACGCACAAAAAACATGCAACACACAAACTCACACTCACCTTGTTGTATCTGTTGGTGTTGGTTATAGCTGGGTGGTTGTTGGTGGGGATACGGCTGTATGTAACCGGGGGCAGGGCTCTGAGGAGTGTATGGGCTCGGTACTGGACTGTTCTGCTGGCCCATATAACGACTACTTGAACCGGTCTGGGGTGACACAAACCGGCTGGACAAAGTAGAAGGAAGTTGCATGATTATTAGTCAACATAATAAGGTTGTATAACGTAAAGACAATATCTTTCTTTCAATTAATCTGATATATATTCATACAGTAATTCAGCCAAATTAGATAATAATATCAAATATTGTAATGCAACTGAGAAACACCAAACAGGAGAAAATATGTAAACAACAATTACACATAGAAGTGTATATAAATCAGCTCCTTTTTGCAGCCTGACTCACCTTGGTGGATTGGGAGAAATTGCAGCCGGCTGGAAGTTTGCAGACTGGGCAGGGCTATGCATGGAATTTTGGGTGATCTTGTACGGCGGTACCATTGGCTGCTGCATTACATCTGTTCAGAATGAAAATACGGCAAATATCAACACGAAGCTCATCTTTACGGCTGCATGCTTTCGTGACGTGACGTGCAACAGGTAAGCATCTCCGTACTTTTCTCCCTGAAGATGCCAGGGTTCCTGGTCAGCATGGTCTGCAACAGCAGTGGTGCATCTCCCTCTGGCTCATCGCTACCCAGGTTGTCCTTTAGCTCTCTGAAACCACACAAACAACAAGTTCAGTCACATAAAATGGTGAGAGCAAGTTGAGCACACTTTGTGGCAAAAACTAAAATCTAAAACATGCATGAATGCAAACATTTATTGATTGCATTATTTAAATGTACATTTGATTTATTTCATAAATATATAACCTATAATTCAGGGTTGTGAGATTTAACAGAAGGACAGCCATCCCTTTGATATTTTCTGCTGTATTAGGACTTATTTTGTGCCCCCAAATAAAAGTGACCTGACCATTAAAGTTAAATAGCAATTTTTAAACCATAATTTTAATACACAACATGTAGCTCTTGACTTTTTAATATGTAGTATTTGCATCTAGCAGATTTTCCCACAGGTAAAACATTAACATTTATTCCAGCTTCTAAGTGTTAAGTCTTCCATGTCTCCATCTCATTAAAAATGTATCTTTTTGCATTTCAATTAGTAAAGAAACCTAAGCAACATCTCCATCTGCATAAGTCAGTGGCATCCCTTATGTTATGTTATGTCAGACCCCAAGATCTAACACTGACAGCCCAACCACTTTCAGGCAAACCGGTTGCCTCAGATAGGGCCTGTCTCTCTCTTAAGGCTCAGGAGACAATTTTGCCATATAGACACTTTCATACTCACATGTGCTCTGTGGAGACCTGGTTGAGGCCATGGGCTAGCTGGGAGGCCAGATTCTCATCCCGACAGCCCAATAGGCAGGTAACTTCCTCTGCGATCCTTCCATTGTATAGGAGGCTCTTAGTGGTGGTGGCCGGGAGAGGGGAAGGGAGGGGCAGCTGGTTCAACACTGAGACGAAAAAGAGTGAAGACAGACAGGGTGAGCAACAAGCGTGACCAACACGGGACACAAAAGCAGAGAAAAAACAGAAACACAATTGTAAATTTACAATCTGTTCAGACAGCTTGGCATTTTACACTAGAACAGAAAACAGAAACAAAACTGTGAAACTGTGTTTCAAACACGGCTGTGTGTCACTCACAGTCTGTGAGGCTAGCGATCCCAGCAAGAGTGGTGATGGGAACATGAGGCATATCCCCATTCATGCTGAAGGTGAGGGTGGGGGAGTGTATTGATACACAGGTAGATCAGGGGGTCGATGGACGACACCCGTCCTCACATCTCCTGACACCTAGGTGAGAGGAAGGTTAGTCAGGGGGGAGAGAAAGACCAAAAACAGCATAAGTGATGGACAAGAGAAGGACCGAGAAAGAGGGCAAGACTTACAAGATTTACAAAATGAGTAAAAAGGAGGCAGAGAAAAGAGGATACAATGAAAGGAACAAAAACTGAAAATGAAACAAATAATCATGATTGTATTTAGACATGTGGAATCAAATGAACAGCGACTGTAGAAGCATTTGCCGTGTGTATGTCTGCCCTGACGCTGTTTTGAAAAGGAGAAGTGGTGTCTGCTGCATCATCTGTAAGCCACAAATAAATGTGTCTTATAAGATCTTGTCAATCAAGATAAACTGTCACGTTCTTTACTGTATAGTTAAGCAGGATCTCTCCCTTTTCGCTTGTATGTCTAGTATATCATTATCCGTGTATGTAACCGATCCATAAGGGGGAATCCTCAGTGCGCTCTGTTTGGGATGCAGGGACACAGCTTCAGGAATGTCACGCTCTTACTCAAAGAAATGTTCAACAGGTAGAAATGCACAGAGGACTAAATCCAGGCTTTACGATTCAATCACTAACTATTAGACCACGCTGCCATCGATGATAGTATGTTCTCTGACCGGTACATATTATGAGCAGCCAGAAATCAACAATGAATTAGGGGCGTGTGATTCCTGATACACCGTCCTCAGTGTACTGACTGGTGCTTATGAGTCACTTAAATGTCAAGTCAGATTACTTCGATTTTCCCTAATAGCAGATATGAAATATACACACACATCAGGGTGCTTACCAGAAAAACGGACAACGCTTTTAAAAGTTTGGCTCATGCGGTTTTGTGGAAAAAAGCAGGTCTGTACTCATGTATCATACAACAACAGTATGTAAATTTTTTGAATAACACACAGCTCCAGCGATAACGGACTAGTGAATAAACCTTGACATCCTGTAGGTGCTGTACTCTGTGTATTCCCATTTTCCCTCCAATTTTTATCAGACTAGATTTTGCTTATACACTTAACAGCGGCAGTACTGTGAAACTAAATAAGCAGTCAACTAATGTCAGTCTTTGTGTTACTACCATAGACGTGTATTCCCTTTAATTCATTTCAAAGCATAGGGCTCTTTGCTCACAGCTTATTATGACAGATTGGCACAAATTAGGGCCCTGAGTAGCACTTAATTTGTTTTAAATCCCTTTGCTTGTTAGGTGTCCTTGACCTCTGAAGAAAGACTGTACAGGAGGTCAAAGAAAGCGGAGGGAAAAGCCAACTGCAATTTTCTGAATATCTAAACGCAGCCCACGCTTCATGGACGAACCTGATTGCTACATGAAGCCCAAAGAAGGCCAGTGCAGGGCTCTCTTGTTGTCTACATTTCTCTCCATGACAACATTGTCAGCATGTGTTTACATATTACAGAAATCAAAATTGAATACACTGATTACATGCACTCGCCTCAACCCGTCCCTAACAACGCATTAACAAGTTGTCCTAATTAAGCTTAAACAGGCATCATTATTATTAATAATGGCATGTCAGTGAAATGACAAAATGACTCAAACCGTCGTAGAAATACCTTTTCGAAGAATTCTGTGCAGTCTCGGGTGGACTCACTGACATTTCAGATAAAAAGTCCTACTCCTTATATCTGTTGAAAGAGAACACGGCTCTGCATCAGACTTTGTGACGTAAAAACTACATTTTGCAGACAGAGTTGTGCCTACGGGAGTAAAACCAAAACAGTGCCAGCTAGAGCATCACAATACTCACCATCACGCATGCATTTCACATTTGCAACAACCAAGTCACCGCTGCTACACAATACAAACTCAGCATGCAACAGTATGCAGCAGGAAATCCTTTTGTTTTTGGTGACTTCCAACTAAATGTGTTCAGCAACTTGTGCTAAACACTGACACCACACGAATCTGTAAACACAACGGTGGCAACCAGACAGTCAGTGCGAGTCGATCACCGTAGCGGGGCAAACAGCAAATCTGCACAACACCGCACAGATCAACAGATGGATGGATGTAAACATTAACATTAGCTGGCCGTAGCGGTAGCATGCTCGGTCTGTGTGCTCTTCCTCGGTACGCAGGGGCTTGGCTGACAGCTGTGAGACTGACAGGCAGGAGGCAGCACAAAGGAACAGATGCACTGTGATGGTGGCGGCGGTAACGTTAGTGGGGGGCTGCATCCTCCAGCAGCCAGCAGCCACCGTACGCACTCTGCAAACTGCAGGGGAGCCATCAAACTGGATTTGTTGTGGTAGAAGAAGCAAAAAAAAAAAAAACAACAACA